CAGCTGCGCAAGTCGTGATGATTCCAAAAGCGTCCTCGCATTCCAGGTTCCGAATCTTGTATTATTTTTCATGCACAAGGTCGTCATCGATAAGTTGTTGCCATTTCTGTTATTATTTATTACGGTTTCATTATTCGATTGATTTAAGATTGGCAGGTGATTGGTCTACCGCATCCGATTCTGGTGTAGGGGCTGCGAACTGTTGTTTATTTCCTTCCTACCACCCGTTAACGGGAAAGGCATCCGCTATCCGCCACCTCCGACGCGGCCTCTAGGGGTTACAGCCTCCCCTGAGGAGTGTTGTTATTTATTATTTACAAATAATGATAAACACCATGTTACTATATCGGCAACAGAATTTGAAAAGGCATTTTGATTGTGAAAAAATTTAACTAATTTTTTATTTGTGTTAACCTACAACAGAAACGCACAACTGGGCCCCTTAAAATTTGAACAACATGTGGTCACGTAAGATATGTGTGACAACGAATGTCAAAAAGCGAGTGAACGAGAGGAACGAAAGAACTTTGAATGGCGTCAGTTGAATAGCGTCGTTATTAAATATTTTGTTCAGTTAAATAAAGTATATTAAAGTTATGTAATTAAATCAAAAACCAAATTAAAATTTGCTTATAATTTCTCGATATTACAAGCAAATTCATACAAACGTTCGGACTGAGATACACAAAAAAAGAAATATGTAATCATATATACAGTGGTTAATAACTTAATTAATACTGACAAGAAATTTTTAAAAAGTTACAAAATTAAAAAAACAAAGTACACAGACGCATTATTTATAGTATTTTATTCCATTGCCAAAAACAAAAAATCCAAAAATCTTTTTTCATTCCTTACTATTGCAACAAAAAACATAAACAAATAAAAAATGCATGTTTCAGTTTAACTGTGCTATAACAATTTGTTTGCCTAAAGTCTTCGGAGAATTGAAGAAAACCAACCGTCGAAGAAAGATCACCCACCACGACAAAAAAATATTCACACATTAGGCCTTTCAAGAGGAACGCGGAGATTTTGCATTGGCTGTGTACAAATTGTTTTTGATTTCTCTCTATAGTTCACATTTCTTATTTACGTAATGCTTCATGTGCGAAGGTAGCATTAATCAATGCTCGGAGTTTCCAACAACAATTTGCCTTAGTTAACCAACACAATAGACAAGAGGCACCACCACATCTATTCTTCATTGTTATTGCACACTTACTGTATGATTTCGTACGCAAGAGTAGGTGAAGAAATATTTATGAAGTTAATGCATAGTCTTCGTGTTTGTATATTTTTCCTAAAATATATACTTTGGTTTTGTGTGCATGTAATGCACAAGTAGTTTCAAATTATTATAAACTTGATTTTTGATGAAATTTTATTCTGATCTCATACAAATATATGAGGTTTGCATATTATGAGGTTAGTTAGCACCGGCAGTAGTACAGTACTATGCCCTATAGTAGCAATGATATGATGTATATTAATTTAAACATCATACTGTTTTTTAAAATATTTTATTATAAAAGTTCAAAACAAGTTATAAGCATTGCATTTATTCTTAAATCTAATCTTACATGATAACTTATACAATTTACGAACTATTTACGACCTATTTCCAATAATTATTATTAACTTATCACTAAAGGCACGGCTTGCATGCCGTTTAAAAATTTTATATACACCTGAATTTACATTAACATGAACGTAACATTAACATTAACTTCAAACCGGTTACCGATAGATGAGAGGGAGAAGAGAGTATGATGTGAGTTCATGAATTTCAAGCAACGAAATTTGCTTCGTTTTTTCAGCTTGACACGCATACTTATTTATTATGTTTATGTTTACCTTTTCATGCTGAATACTTTTAAATTCCTTTACTCCTATGAATGTAAGATATGATGCGAGCGTAGCTTATGATTAAACGGTTCCTACCTCCTCTTATATATATTTGCAAATTTCATGTTTAAACAATTATACCTTATCACAAAAAGCAATTACAATATTAAAACATATATATATTTTAATCAGTAATTTGATTAATTCAAACGAAGAAAAGGTTTTTGTATTAATGTAAGATATATATTTTAAAACGATGTAAATGTTTAACTGAATTCTGACTACGCACGGTGCTAAAATATTTCCAAAAGAAAATATAGCAAAACACAAAAACAAAGGTAAACAAATATTGCACTCTTTCTCTTCAACTAAATATGCATACATTTTATATGAAATTTACAAGCAAAAGCAAAAATAGAGAACAAACACAAAGCGTTCCTCTTGATCGACCTAATGTTTTTGGAGACAAATTCTTCAAAAGCTCAGTTAAGAAGTCCTCTTGTATTTAGTGTTCTTGATTATAATTACATAAATTTATAAAAAAAAATAATCATTCAAATTTTAATATTTTACAACAGTTAGTTTTTCTTTAGTTAACAACTTCGTAAACATGTCTGCCGCATTCTCGGATGATGGTACGTACTCCACAACAATGTCATTCGTTTTTTGTTTCTCAAACATTGGGGGCTATTTCATATAAATTTCATCTTCTTATTCGCCATGTAGGTATGCTGCAGTAATATCTAAGTGATTGATTAACAATCTAAACAATCGTTTGCTGCTAAAGTCAATAGCAAACGAACTGTAAAGTGTCTTAATATAAGTGCAAATGTCACTGTATAGTCTACATTATATTTTTCTGCGCACCCATGAGCAACCAAACGTGCCTTATAACGATCAACACTTCCATCAGGTTTTCGTTTAATATTGAATACCCATTTATTTCCATCTCTATAAAGGTTCGGTTGGCACGTTCTGGAACACAATTTTGCTGAGATGTATAACTAACTGTAGTTTGATGAATTATGCCCCGTTGTTCCAAAAATTCTTTAAATTGTTTATTGTTATACTCATCGCCAGTAACGCTAGGAGTTTTTAATTTTTTTTCTGTCTGTTTTTCTACGCGGACTAAGAACTGCTTAAAAACTGCAAATGCATCTGATTTTTTTCGTAAAAATTTCACTTCAGTATACCTTGAGAAGTCATCAATGAATGTGAAGAAGTATGCGCTGCCACCTAAACAACTCACTTGCATTGGGCCATAAATATCCGTGTGAATTAATTCTAGTACTCCTTTCGTGACAACTGTTTTAGCATAATACGGTTAAGTCCTCATCTTGCACATTGCACATGTGGAACATTGAAAATCACGAGGAGTGTTTAATTTCATACCGCGCACTAATTCTATACTTGAAAAACTGCACAAGTCTTTTACATTGAAATGGTCATATCTCTTGTGCCAAATAATAAAGTCATTGTCTTTCTCACTAATCGCGTTTGCGCTCTCTTTGTTTATATTTACTTTAACATTTATACAGAAAGTTCCATTACATTCAGTTGCTGTGAACACTTTCCACCTTGGTTTGTTATTATATTTGCTTTATTTCATGAAAAATTTTACTGCAAAACCGTTTTTTATAAATTTCGACACTGAAATAAGATTAGAGTGTAAACCGGGCACATATAAAACATTTTTAAGTAATATTTCACGCTGATTAATAATAGTTTTTATGTTTCCAATACCTTTCGCACTGACTAATTGACCAGAAGCTAATGTCACATTGTCTATGTGCTTGCATGGATAAAAAATTTTCTTTACACATGTGCGATGTCGCAACCCTATCTAAAATCCAATTATTTGTTTTATTTTGTTTTTTAATCTCAGTAATATTAAACGCGTATTTTTGCGAGCTTATATTTATTCTGCACTATGCCCGAATATAGCCTCTTTTGCCGCATGCATAACATTTGACATTATCTTTTGATTTTTGTACATTTCTTTTAACTGGATATGAGGTTTTACTTAAGTTTTTATTGCGAAAATTTATTGCTAATACGGTCTCTTTTTCAACATTGTTTTTCGCTTTGTCTTCTCTCTTCGTCTAAAATTTTGGATATTAATTGTTTTACTGTTGGCAATTAGTCTCGCGTTTCTAGCGCAACAACAAAACTATCCATATCATCTGGAAGACTACATAGAAGCATGATCGAAAGCAAATCGTCGGGTGAATTTATCCCTGCGAAGCGAATTCATCATTTTTATCAATTTTAAACCGAACTAAGTTTTGCAATTTTTTATATGTACCAACTCCGATGTGTTCACGCACAACAATATTGTAGCTAATGCCTTCCGGTCAGTAACACTTGATTCCACACTTTCCTTTTCTTTAATTTGTTCTATCGCATTCCAATAGTCTAGTGTGATTTGCAAACTACGCATTTGGATAGACCATGTTGCATGGTTTTCTGAAGTTAATTTTTCGATCTGACTCGCGCTACACGACATTTTATTTATGTTTTTTTTTTTAAATTTATTTTTTTCGAAAATATGTCCTTGTTCGAAATAAATGTAAAGTTCCGCACACGACCGTTCACTTCAAAGACTTTTATTAAAGAGTACATATAACTAAAATAACAATAGTAACATAAAGTTTAGTATAGATTAGATTAGTATAAAAGATTAGTATAAAATAAGAGTATAAGTATAAGATTTTAGTACTTAATTGCACTGTTGCATTTATGCTGACATTTACTCCATACCAGTTTCGCTAATTAACCACTATGTTTTCATTGTTAAGCGCAAGATTTAAAAGGCAGCCCATTTATCTTTGATTTGTGCCGGTAAATATGTATGCCATTATTCATAGATAATAATGTAATATATAATTATAAAATTATAATATATAATTATAAAATTATAATATATAATTATAAAATTATAATATATAATTACAAAGTTATAATATATAATTATAATATATAATATGTAATTAATAATATAAAGAATAAGGTTGAAAGTATACAATAAATGTTGTAAATAAGTATATGAATATGAATTCTTAAAATCCTTATTATGTGAATAATATTGTTTTGTTGTTTTGTATATATAAAAATAGTTCCCAATTCTAAAAATTTCTTTTTGATATTTTCAGGAAACCTAGGCGAAGTTCTTATTCGTTGTAATAATGTTCTTTATATAAAAGGTATTGATGATGATGATGAGGAAGGAGAAATGAGAGACTAAAACATAAAAATAGTCACTATTTTGTGTTATATATAAAATAAAACAAATTTTTATAAAAAAAATAGTTATTTTATTAATCAATATCATATATTGTGTATCATTTTTCACATATCGCGGTACAAGTTTTCTTGTGAGCGAAAACACACGTAATTTTGTATGTAATGATCGTAAATATAGGAAAAAATCTGTCTCATGTGTGTTAAAGCAAAATTCAATAATATAATAACAGTCGTATATGCTTATGCCCCAACAGAAGAGGCTGAAATTAACCAAAAAGACGATTTCTTTGAATGTATAGAGAACGCCTGTAGCACTATACCTAAATATAATACTAAAACTATCTTGTGAAAAACGCAAAAATTTTTTAGGGAATTGTAGTAATGTTGACTCTTAATATGAGTTTTTTAATATATATTAAGAGTTTATAAATTATTACTAACAATTATTATGTTCTGTTCAAAATTCTAAAATTTTTTAATTTTCAAAATCAAAATGTATATGCATGAAAACTTGATTGATTGTCAATTACTAGTTTTCAAAGTAACTTTTGCTCAAAAAGTTGTTTGTTAACTACTCCTTAAGTAATAGACCTTTTTCAAAAATTTTTTTTGTTATATTGGTACACCCTTTCTTGACATATGGTACAAATTTGAGCGCCATCAGTCAATTAGTTTGTTTACAACAGCTGTTAATGTGAGACTACCTCAAGTGCATTTAGCGATACTATGGAAAATTCTTGTTGTACGTGATTTTTTGACCAAACACGGCACGAATGTCATCGCTCAGGCACCATATTCGCCAGATCTGGATCCGTGCGCCTTTTTCTGAAACTCAAATTGCACCTTCGTGGTTAGCGTTTTGAGTCGATTGAATTAGTAAAAGAGAATTCGCTGAAGGAACTAAAGCCATACATTCACGGGCCTACGAAAAGTGAATGGAAGATTGGGGTAAGTGTTGGCATATGTGTATCGCTTCAGAAGGAGCATATTTTGAAGGAGATGAAATAAATTTGGAATAAAATTTAAATTTGTGTGTTTTATTTACAAAAACCTTTTTGAGTAGAAGGTAAACTTCTCTTTTTGAATAATGCCTCATGAAAGCCACTTCACTCTCCCACCAGTGGTTGAGTACAAACGATGCTACGTTATATGCACTTGATTCTATGTCACAAATCTGACAGGTAATCGCATAACTCTGCCACTAAATGTGCTGCGACCAGAGTTGAGCTCCTGCTGAGGTTTTCGTACAGGTTGTGCATCTGGGCTTAACTGAAATGGAGTAGACCGTGACAACTGCGTGCTTGGTTCGATTTCTTCATTCAACAAATAAGCTGCCTTTACTCTATCAAACCTCACTTGAATAGATCGGCCTTTGATTACGAGAGTAATAAGTTTACGATCACGCCGTATCACTTTGAATGGTCCATCAAAGATGATTTCAAGGGAGGTCGTACGTTAACATCGCTTAGGAACACATGTGAACACGTCTGCAGGTCTCGTTGTACGAACGTTTTCGCTTTTGCATGATTTGAACCTGGAACCGGACGTGATTGATCCATGGTCTCTCTAAGAAACGTTGCAAATTCGGGGTCACAACCGATGTGAGACGTCTTCTTAAAGAACTCTCCTGGAGGCTTAAGAGACGTACTATATATCATTTCTGCTGAACTAGCTTGGATGTCGTCTTTGAACACACTTCGTAAAGCTAGCAATATCAGTGGTAATTCATCTGTCCACCTTTGGTTTGACCTACATTTCAGTGCAACTTTTAATGTTCTGTGGAATCGTTGCCTTGTAGGTTCTACCTATTTTAACTCGCTGGCATTGTGGACATATGTTTACCATTTTCGCTACATCCATTTTAATGTTTGGCAAATCGTTTACTGATCAGTTTTGCCATGGCCTTGCTACCTGGATGGCCTATATTATGTATGGTGTAAAAAACTTGCCTACGAAATTCATCTGTGATCCACGGTCGCGTATGAGATTCAATGAACCGGTAGATGCACCAATTTTAGCTGAAGCGAAGTCTTACCCTGTGATAAGAGTTGCTAACTGTTCAAAATTAATCTGCTTTTCTCCCTGTCTTCCGTCAATACGTGATAAGAAGTCAGCTACGTTGTTGTCTTTTCTGGGGAAATGTGTGATATCAGTAGTAAATTGACCTATGTGATCCAAATGACGGAGTTGTCTGGGCGATGCTTTTTCAGGATTTTGCTGAAATGCGAAAATGGCCAAAAAACGACGAAGTTCTTGCGCACTGCTTGGCTTCGGATACTTAAGAATTGCTTCAACCCTTTCTTTTGACGGACGAATGTCATTTTGATCAATACTGTGACCGAGAAAGATAACTTCCGTCTGAGCAAACATGCACTTGGTAATGTTGAGCTTTAAACCGTATTAGTGCAAACGCTGAAACACTGTGCGTATGTGTTGAATGTGTTCGGCTTCGTTTTTAGACGCGATGCAGATATCGTCTATGTAACAAACCGTGAAGTCCAAACCGCTAAGTACTTGATCCATGAACCGTTGAAAAGTTTGAACTGCATTGCACACACCGAATGTCATCACATTATACTCGAACAACCCAAATGGTGTGATTATAGCAGTCTTCTTCCTGTCCTCAGGTGCTATGGGTATACTGAAATAAGCTCGTTCCAAGTCAAGCGTGGTGAAAATAGCTTTGCCACTCAAATTCTGAGTGAAATTCTGAATGTGCGGTACTGTGTAACGATCTGGTACTGTCTGTACATTGAGTAGTCTGTAATCTCCACACGGCCTCCAAGTTCCGTTTTTCTTCTTCACCATATTTAATGGACTGGCCCATTTGCTTTTTGAAAGAGTGCATATATTTTGATCAAGCATGTACTGGAACTCACTTTTTGCTGCTTGCAACCTTTGTGGATTGAGCCGCCTGGGACGTGCATAGGCTGGTTGTCTCGTGGTAACGATATGATGTTGCACCGTGGTTCTTACAGATCCAGACTTCTACGATGCTGGTATTGTTAGATCTTTGAACTCTTCTAATAATTTTCGGAACGGATGATCTACATTCACTGCGAATACTGGCTCTGGCATATGCAAGGCTGTTGCACAATGAACTTTCATGTTGGTTTTGCTGTAAACGAGGAGTTTACGCTGCAAATCTACAACTAGACCGTAATATTGCAGTAAGTCGGAGTTTGCGCCGCAGGCCAAGATTCAACGCCATCAATTTATTTCCGTATGTTTGTATTGAAGTTCCGTTTGCTGCATACAAGAGTTTGGCAGATGCTGTCGGCTTAGTTCTGCCGAAGATCGAAACGGATAGAATTGAGAAATCTGCACCTGTGTCGACAAGGAATTTCAATTGTGTGGAGGGATCTGAAACATAAAATTGGCTGGACTTGTAATAACTTCTTGTTTCGCCAATCTCCGGTGACGAAACGGAATTTAGTTTTCCGTGGTTGTGAAGCTGCAGGACTTAGTAAACTTCTGTGCACTTGTGCCAAAACGATGATGGTAGAAGCACACACACTGTAAATGTTGTGTTCGTGCCGGTGTGTTTGATTTGTTCGTTCGTAACTGCTTGCTAAGTTCTTCCACAGCATTCACTAAATGAATGACATCAAAGGAAGAAGACACAGTTTAATTGTCACCTACATTTCTCGCACTGGGATGCACTTCAGAAACAGAATTGTAATTTTCAATTTCCAGCATTAAATCTACTTGTTGTGCACATTTATCCAAATCAACCTCAGAAATGGACACGATCGATCGTACAGCTTCTGGCAGACGATACAACCAAAATTGTTTGATTGCTCCATCGTTCCTGGTGTCACTGGACAAATCGCGCGTCTTTTGATTGCTTCATACTTATTAACTGTAGGTGGAGCACGTATGATATGGGCGATGTTCCTCAATGTGTTGCTGTCGACAACGTGGTCGTACTTCTGGATCTCGCTTGCCGAAAACAGGTACTTTTACTCCTATGCGGCAAATGTCGTTAGCTCGAATGTTAATTTGCACGCTATTTTCCGTTAGCATATTATTAACATCATGTACGACATTACTGTCTGCTTCAGCTTGCGACATGTTTAGTGTTGTTTTAAAATCACAGCTTTAATTATTATTAATTAACGTTACACTTATTTCCAACCGTCGAGGGTTACCAATGTATGTAGTAATGTTGACTCTTAATATGAGTTTTCTAATATTTATTAAGAGTTTATAAATTATTACTAACAATTATTATGTTTTGTTCAAAATTCTAAAATTTTCAAAATGTATATGCATGTTTCAATGCCTACCACCATTGGTACTGACATTGGAACTTTTGCTGATGATACTGTGATAATTGCTACAGACGAAAATAACCAGTTAGCATCCAACAAACTTCAGCGAGCTCTTGGCATCAGACTGCGGGAGCTCTACTGGATACTGAACAAAAGTTCAAAGCTCTCAGTCTAAAATAAACTTATTATCTACAAAGCTATACTCAAACCAATCTGGACATATGGCATTGAACTCTGGGGAACTGCTGCATCTTCAAATATTGAGATTATCCAACGTTTTCAAACAAAAACCCTTAGATTAATCTTAAATGCTCCTAGATATATAACAAATGAATGTATACATCGTGATCCCAACATTCCTATAGTTAAGAATGTTATAAATGCCAAGTCAGTAAATACAAAAAACGTATGTTACATCATCCCAACCATTTTATGAGCAGAATGATAGCAGAAGGAAGAACGTTTACACGCCTCCACAAATAAACGCCACTGGAACTTTAATGTGTCCTATCCAACAGACGGATGTACTACTGTACCACTTTTAAATATTGTTTAATGTCTATTTCGAATTGACAGATCGCAATATAAGAAAATAAATTTAAAAAAAAAATTGTCAATTTCTAGTTTTCAAAGTAAACCTCACCTTTTATATAATGCCACATGAACGCCACAGAATATTCTACAAAGAAAGTTTAATAATGACATATGCTTGCTCCAAATAACAGCAATAATGAAATTTACATATGCAGCAAGCACTTTGAACATAAAAGAACGTGGAGAATTC